CATGCAAGTATTCAAATTTGAATTTTAAAAACTTTATATTGACAAACAAGCAAGCCATATCTATAAAATAAAGCAAATGGGAAGAAAAGCAATGAGATCTTTTCTTATAGGTTTGAAGCACATCATTCTGTAATCCTCATACCATTCTACACTCCCCAGTCTTTAAACAATTCAAGACAGTCTTGACCACATTTTCTAGTATGCTGCTTGCATCTAACTCCTGGTTCTCTACAATGGCATGCACCCCCAAGGTGATTTGCAAATAATTAACAGCAGCAGTACCGAAAAACAAGATGTATACTACACCCTGTAGAACAATTACAACTTGTTTCATTTCCTTACTGTTCAACAAGTGAAAAAATATACTAGTTCTCTTTGGCAAAAGGAAGGTCTATGGGGAGAACAGTTTGGAGGCCATCAGAATCAAATTCACCATTTTTACCGACAACAGTGTCTCTTGCAATCATCATTACTAATGAAGGCATATAGCCTCGTATAATAGAAGCACTATTTTTTTCATTTAATTCTAAAAGAATAATAAATGAGGTTATTCTCACACCAGGTAAAACACAGATTACTTACAACCAGCAAACAGTTCTGAAGGGAAGTGAAAGCAAACTGTTTCCATTAACTATACTGTGGACACAAACTGGACATAATATGGTTCACTTCTGTATAGCCTGCATAGAATTGGGACTGTTCCAATGGTTCCCCCTTTGGTCTTCCAAGTGTTTTGGTCTTCAGCTTCCAGAGGCCCCAGCCAGTTTTGCACAGTGTCAGGACTTCTGGGAGTTAAAAGTCCAAAACATCTGAAAGGTCAAAGATGGGGAACCATTGCACTGATTGATACTTCTGATTTTACTGACCATAGAGAACATGTGAGTCTTTTTTAAAATTTACACTGTTTGTCCCAGCAAATGTTTTGTGGCACCTTGAAAAACTATCAAGTTCTTATGAGTTTCCGTTGTCTTGTGGGGTTCCTCAGGGCTCAATATTGTCTCCCATGTTGTTTAACATCTACATGAAGCCGCTGGGGGAGATCATCCGGAGTTTCGGGGTGCGGTGTCATCTGTACGCAGATGATATAAAGTTATAATAATATATACTGCTACTAAGGAGGCTGTCCAGGTCCTGAACCGGTGCTTGGCCGCTGTGACGGTCTGGATGAGGGCGAACAAATTGAAATTGAATCCAGACAAGACAGAGGTCCTCCTGGTCAGTCGCAAGGCCGAACAGGGTATAGGGTTACAGCCTGTGTTGGATGGGGTCGCACTCCCCCTGAAGACGCAGGTTCGCAGCTTGGGTGTGATCCTGGACTCATCGCTGAGCCTGGAACTCCAGGTTTCGGCGGTGACCAGGGGAGCATTTGCACAGTTAAAGCTTGTGCGCCAGCTGCGCCCGTACCTTGGGAAGTCTGACTTGGCCACGGTAGTCCACGCTCTGGTTACATCCCGTTTAGACTACTGCAACGCTCTCTACGTGGGGTTGCCTTTGAAGACGGCTCGGAAGCTCCAACTAGTCCAACGCTCGGCAGCCATGATTTTAACAGGAGCGGAGCGCAGGGAGCATACAACCCCCCTGCTGCGCCAACTCCACTGGCTACCGATTTGCTACCGGGCTCAATTCAAAGTGCTGGCGTTGGCCTTTAAAGCCCTAAACAGTTCCGGCCCAAGTACCTATCTGACCGCATCTCTGCCTATGAACCCACCAGGACTTTGAGATCTTCCGGGGAGGCCTGCTCTCGATCCCGCCTGCTTCTCAAGCACGGCTGGCGGGGACGAGAGATAGGGCCTTCTCACTGGTGGCCCCTCAGCTGTGGAACGCCCTTCCCACGGACATCAGGCTAGCACCACCTCTAATGGTATTCCGTAAAAAAGTTAAGACCTGGTTGTTTGAGCAGGCGTTCGAATAACTAGTGCAATAATTGGTAATGAACATAGGAATGGAAAATGGTTGACGAGTTTGGATTATGTTTTTGTGGATGAGATGATGGTGATTAGTTATTGTAATAAGTGTTTATTAATTGTGTGCTGCGCGGGATTGTTAACTGTTTTATATCTGACATTGAATTTCTGCTGTTTTTGTTGGTTGTGAACCGCTGTGAGTCGCCTTCGGGCTGAGAACAACGGTATACAAGTAAAGTAAATAAATAAATAAATAAATATGAATTGGAATTTTTTAGATTCGATTTGGTTATTTGGGGTGCTGATTTAGAAAATTCCATTAGATAGACCACATTAGCTCTAGATTCTGATACAGAACATGTCATCCAGTAGTTGCCATCTGCTCACCCACAGAAAACCATATTTAATAATCTAGAGCAGATATGGTAGTAGTAATCTTTCATGAGTAGTCAGCCCCTCCACTCCCAACATCCCCATTGCCTCAGAACTATATGAGGGTTTCGCAAGACCAGTCACTCTCGTTGCCACATGGTTTTGAGGCAATGTTGTAGTAATAGTGAGGACGCGGACCATATTTTTGTTCTTGCGAACCACTGGTGGTCAATGGACCACAGGTTGGGAATAAATGCCCTAGAATCTCCTGAAATTTCTTATAAAAGTGGTTAACAATTAGAATAAAACCTTCAAAAACATCTACAGAGCACAATTCTTAAGTTAAACCAACATTTGAGGGTTCTCCTGAAATTACTTAACCCGTTTTCTCCTGAAACTGAAACCATGTGGACATTCTATATTGCCCACGCCTCCTTTAAAAATACATTTAGAAGACTATATACATAATTTTTCTAGCATACAAACAATTCCATAAAGCAAGGGATTACTTCAGGAGCTAACTTGTTCTGTTCTGGCAGGACACAAGGGAAGGTTTGGTTTTTAAAAAACTGCTAATGCTACACTTGTCTCAGAGGGCTATTCACATTTTAGTGCAAAACCAGTCATTCAGTTTTAGTATCAGTGTGTTAACTCATTTTAGTTATCAACACATTTTTCCTTCTCCTAATTACCGCATTTTCTATCTACTAACAAAACAATGAATGGCATTTGTTCTAGAATCTGCATTACCAGCAAGTTTTCTTTCAAAATGTTTCACACCAAAAAAGAAAGGGATAGAGAAAGAGAGTCTTTGGCTTTGGGGTCGGCATACTAATTTTCACTATCCTTTCTGGATATATGGAAATGATGTTTCTGAATGAACTACAAAGTTGTCTATCCAAATAAAGTCATCGTTCCACTTTATTCTTTTCTACATCTATTTGTCTTTGTTTCCAGATATTATTTTGGTCCACACTGTGCATTCAGTCCTCATTTAGGGTGTTTTAGAGAGAGGTATCCTCTTAACAAGATTTTTCTAAATATATTCTGTATTTTTGTAAATCTTCAGGGCTCCCCCCATTGCTGATAACGGGTTTTCATGAAGGAGATCCCATGTTGGTTGCATATGGATTGCGACTCCCAGGTGAGACCCATTGATTTCTATCTCTGTATCAAAACCATTTTACAAAAGAAAAATACTTACTCCTTCACAAAAAAGAATTCAGAAGTTCAAGTACTGTGTTTACTTGAATTAATGCTCACCTATTTTGGCTAAATGACCTTGCCAAAATTGGGGTGTGCATTAGATTAGCGTAATATTATAATCTTAGTGCCAAATCAAAACAGAAAAGTGCTTCAGGAAGTGCAACTTTGTGGAAGTCATGTATGATTAAATGGCCAGAGCTCAATTAAATGGCCAGGGCTCAATATTATGCAGTCCTGGGATTTGTCGTTTGGTGGAGCATCAACTGTCTTTGGCAAAGAAGGCTGAAGACCTTGTCAAACTACAGCCCCCAGGACTCCATAGCATTGAATCAAGGCAATTGAAGTTGGTTATTCTATAGCATAGATGCATCCCAAGATTTTCTTTTTTATCATTGGAAGCTTTAGTGTTCTAACATAATTGTTTATAATGAAGGAATTCTAAGCAGGCAGCAACAGTAATGCACATCTTTTTGACCAAATTACAAAGAGCACCATTTTTACTGCTCTGTATTACATTTGGCAGCAAATACTTTTTTTTTTTTTTTTGGTTTTAGGGTTTTGAAAATTGAGGTGCATATTAGATTCAGTTGCACATTAGACTCAAGTAAATGAGGGTATTAATAAAACACAAAATATGAAGAATAATGTTTAAAATGAAAAATTAAAATTTTTCCATATCATAAGTGGTATAGCTGAAAACATCACTTCTTAGAAAACAGGGGAAAATAGTAATTGTGCATTAGTTCCAAATAACAATAGGTGCAATGTTGATTTGTTTGGAGTAAACCAAAACTATTAGGTAAACATGTACAAGGAACAATAGTTAGTCAATATTTATTATAGCACTATGTTTGTCTGTTGCCACAATGTGTCAGCAGACTGCTTGCATCCGATGACGCATCCAATGTGACTACTGATTATTTCATTTCAAAGTCATGATGGTGGAGCAACATCATTTCCAAAAGAGATTGAAATGATTCAAATAATATCAAAACTCAAAGCAAATACTTTCTGAGAACCACAGTGAATCTATAATTAAACGACAATAATATGTACTATCCTAGGTACATGCTTCTATAATATACACATATTAACAAGAACATTTCAGGAGCTGTTGTATAGACAGTGGATCAGTTTAGATGACTAATGTAACAGAGAACCATGCACATCTTTTTCCTAGGCATACAGCCTATTTACCTGCCACTAAGTCTGATTACATCAGAAAACATCTAAATAAACCAGTTTTTCATTTTGTCTAAGTTATTGAACCAAATTAAAATTGTGATTTGAAATCCTGTTTTGTTTCAAATCACAGTTTTCCAGTGGGATGAAATAGGAAATTATAGTTAATTAATGATATCCTGTTTTGTTCACAGACTGCTACAAAAGCCTGTGGCCATCTCAGCTTAAATAACAGAATTACAATGCCCATATTGACCCATAAAATATTACAATGCAATTGGCCATTTACTATAGTGCTAATCCAATACTTAATCTTTGCTCATGTTCGTTACCCACCTTGTTTCCACCAAATAAGCAGTGTAAGTTTCCTGCATGTTCATGGCATTCCGTCCTGTCCGTTTTTCAGCTTCTGCAACGCTGATTTCTATTTTCTTCAATAAACAATCTTCCATCATCTTTTTCACCAAGAGATGAAAAAAATACATTTGTAAGTACTCTTATCATTTGCTTTGCACAATAAAGTATTATGTGCTTTGTTTTCTGCCAGGAGCAAAGCCTGGCTCTTAACAAGAGAAAACCATATTTAATTTCTTGTTGTAAGAGTGCCTCATATTTCACAGTACATGAATGAATGAATGAAACTTTATTTATACCTTGCCACCATCTTCCCAAAGGGACTCAGGGAGGCTCACAATGCACTCAATAGTGCAGCCATATAATACAACAAGAACATAAAAATAATACAACAATAAAATGCATAAACAAAATTACTTAAAACATCATATAACCACCACCACCACCACCACCACCACCCCCCCGTTAAAAACTCAATAAAACGCAGCAGTACATTGTGATATTCAGCCTTTTCAAAATAGAAAAAGGATGGTCCTATTCACCTCTTTTAACCATCTCAGGAAAAAATTCCTACCATGCTATCATATTGACCTTTAAATTAGACCAATTGAGTAACAAAGGTAGACAAGAAAATTTACATTTGTGGAACTAAAACAGCTAGACCATATTGCACCAGCTGGTAGTCCTTATCTGAATCAAAAGAGGACCTATTGAAAGGAGAATGAAATATCAAGCATTCTGCTTTCCTTTCTGCCTCACTGGGCTTTTGTGTCCCCAGTTAGCCACTTACAATACATTTTGCCAAATTAAGAACTCCTTTAGGTTTCAACATATACTCTGCATGTTTTTTTGACAGCTGTGATTTCCTGAAGCAATTCTGACAAGATAACCTCAGCAAAAGGTTGATGTAACTGTTTCAAACACCCTGAGTCTTCGGAATCAGTTCTGAGATGGCATTTGGCAACTCAGGCAAACCGTAAAACGTCCTAGCCCCAACACCAGATGACACATTCACAAGTTCACATTTTATTCCCAATTATCCTTTCCATGCCCATGCAGAACAGAGGTGAGCAACTGAGGCCATATTGAACTCTGGTTCTTTAAAATTTCCATCAGCCCTAGTTAATAGTAAGGGATGCTTGGAATAGCCATCCAACAACATCAGAGCCACAACTGCCTGTTACAATGCCCATCCTTATGCAGAATGAGGAACATGGGAACACAGCCTGTTTCTCCCATCCAACTATGTCATAGGTTGTATCTACCCTGCCAAATAATGCAGTTTGAACTATATGGCCAGTGTAGACCCATATAATGGATATCAAATTGCATTATTTGACAGTGTATATCCAGTCTTAGATAGAAATCTTAGGGCCCTTCCATACAGCCATATAACCCAGAATATCAAGGCAGAAAATCCCACAATATCTGCTTTGATCTGGAACATATGGTAGTGCGGACTCAGATTACCCAGTTCAAAGCAGATATTGTGGGATTTCCTACCTTGATATTCTGGATTATATGGCTTTGTGGAAGGGCCCTTAGATACAGCTGCTTTCAATTCCATGAACCAGCATCTAGGTAACTCAATATAAAAGACCCAAATAGCCTAGAAAAAAGGCATATCTCAGATGACTGACCATCCACCACATAACCTGTAAAGCTTCTTAACTAGTTTCCTGATAAATGAAACTACGATTCCCCAAAGAATCTACCACAGGCGGCCTTTCCACATAGCCCTATATTCCAGAATATCAAGGCAGAAACATTATCTGAGTGTTGATTCAGATAACCCAGTTCAAAGCAGATATTCTGGGATATAGGGCTGTGTGGAAGGGCTCCGAGTCCCGTGATGTAAAGTGAGATCAGGTGTTGCTGAACTACAATTCCTGTGGTGCTAAGTGTTGCCTAAACTACAGAGTGATAGTATTTGTTGTTCCCAGATATCACAAGAGCCACAGGTTCTCCACTCTAATCCAGCAATTATATAAACATGAAATAACCAGAAACCTGCTAAAGAATGAAGTCACCACTAACTGTCTTATGCTCATTTTAATAGCTTAAAAAGATTTAGTCTAACAGTAAGATGATTACTCAACACTGTCTGTACTTGCTGAATTTTAATCTCCCTACAACGATAACACTTAATGCTTGTGATGAAGTCAACAGCATCTACAAAGCTTATGGTGTAATAAGATGGACACAAGAGTCTTCACTGATTTTGCTGAAGCTTAACAGAACAAGAACTTGACCTGGGAGGAAATTAGTCTACTAGTACTCACAAACATTTTAAAATTGTATGAAGGGATCGTTGAAAAATCCACTAACCTGGATTATTTCCACATCCTTCCTCTGTAACCTTATGTTTCAATTTTACATGAATCCCCAGCACATTCCATTAACGGAAGGGAAATGATAAAAAAGGGAAGTGTACTTATCCCTTTTGTGACGAATGACTACTGATGGTGGCAACTTCAGAACTATGTTGCTGAGTTTGTGGCCTACTACCATCAGAAGAAAGTGTCCCATCTCCCCAACTGAGCCAAAAGGAGCAGCAAAAAGAAGCAACAGGAGACAAGAATGCTAAAGACCATTCATAATTCCTCATTTGTCGTACAAATCAAAACAAAGATCTGAGAAAACAAGCTTCAGCTTCTCACACAGTAATACAGAAATAAAATAGGGTGATCTCATTCACATCTCCAACAATAGCATTTGTTTTTATGTTCGATATTTCAATGAACTTTGTTCCATATGTAAAATCTCTAGCAATATCTTTTTTTTTAAAAAAAAAACCAATCTTTATTCAAGCCCTTTTCCTAATTCTAATGCTATATTTTGCACAAATGCTCCGTGGGATAACAAAACCCAAGATGCATTGAGACCACCAGTTGCTATGTAGGTATTGCAAATCCAACTTTGGTGGGGAAGGGTTTCTGCCAGTTGCATTTGCACCCTGGTAAGTGTAATGTTTTGACCACCATCATCTTTTCTTTGGTCGCCTAGAGAGGGACAGATAATGATTTTTAAGATAAATAAACTGTGATTCCATATTAACAGTGAAGGACAAGCAAAGACGTCAAGCACCAGCTCTGTTCCAGCTTCTCTTACACTCAGTCCCGATGAGGCAGCAGAGATAAAACAACACCTCTGACTACTAATCACCAGGGCAAAGAATGTCCCCTTAAGGCAGTGGTTCTCAACCTGTGGGGCCTCAGATGTTTTGGCCTTCAACTCCCAGAAATCCTAACAGCAGGTAAACTGGCTGAAATTTCTGGAAGTTGTAGGCCAAAACACCAGGGGACCCACAAGTTGAGAGCCACTCCTTTTATCAATCATGTCACTTCCAACCCATGTCAGTCTATTGCAGCAAATATGAATGTATTTATTTTGGAGCTTTTTAAAAAACATTATAACAAAATACTGAGTGACTGTGAGAAATGATATATGTTTCACCAAGCTTCAGATTCCAAATCCAAAAACAGATTCCAAAAACAAGAAGCTCACATACTCACATACAAAAAGAAAAGAAAAAAGGGGGATGGGGGCTAAGAAAATCTAAATGAAAATAAAGTATAGCAGGCCCTTGGTATTTGCTGGAGTTCGGTTCCAGGACAACCCATGAATACTAAAATCCATTGGATGCTCAAGTCTCATTAGATACTGTGACACAGTAAAATGGTATACCCTATATGTATAAAATGGCAAAATCAAGGTTGGTCTTTTGGAATTTCAGTATTTTAAAGCCACAGATGATTGAACCCATGAGTACAGAACCCATGGATAAGAAGAGCCAATTGTAGGTGCCTTCAAGCCACCTTGTCGACATATGACAGCCCATAAATTCCATAGGGTTTTCTTAAGCATACTGAAGACCTTTTAGTATAACCTATACTCAATGTGGTGGTCCCTGGAGTCATTACAATCTGATAATCATCAGCTCTTTGGGCTATTTATATCAGTTCTGGGGTGTGTCAGAAAAATAAAAGTATGTCAGATAACCTCAGTATCACTTGCCTAGAGGAATCTGGTGTTTCATGGAAATCTTCCTTCCTGACACTGCTGTGTCTCTGGATCAGACAGGAGCTGGTGACTCCAAGATTTTTAAGAATTCTACTGGGCTCAGTAGGGCTTACATTCAAGTAAATCCACAAGGGGTTCCACTGTTAAATTACAAATGAAAACGTTTTGTTCTGTTATGAATGCACCTGAAATACCTTAAGTAGACATGACTAGCACTTTCAACTCGCACCTTGGTACAACAACACTGGCATCCATTATATAGTCACCCTCCAGCATAGACTGTTGTAGATTTGACTTTGACTTTTGTAGATTTGATTATTCATAAAATGTAATTTGTAATGCTCTCTTTGGGCATCCCTAGGTCCTCCAGGGCAACTATATGGTCAGCTCCCACCAGAAGGACCTAGAGATTCCCAGACAAAATGCATCTCTAGGAATCTCAAGGTCCACCAATGCAATTCTGCAGTCAGCTTCCAGTGGACGTTAACCACAGGGTCATACTGCAAGACCTAGAAATTCCTAGAGGTAAGAAAAATAACAATTTCCTTTTTTGCTGCTTTTCACTTTCATGGGAGTTCTGTGACCCTAACCTCAGGGAATGGAGGGGCGACTGTATTTTTTTGTTACATTTATATCCCCACTGGTTGTTGATGTTATTTTATGTTCTCTTACATTGTTGCTTTTATAAATTTTACTATGCTGTGTTTAACCTATATTTGACCGGGCTTGTCCCCATGTAAGTTGCCCTGAGTCCCTTCAGGAAGATGGTGGTGGGATGCAAAAATATAGTTGTTGTTGTTGTTGTTATTATTATTATTATTATTATTATTATTATTATTTCTTCTGAAGAGTTTAGGGTACTACATTTGGCTCTCCCTTCCTCAATAAAGTGCCAAAACATTCCTAGAAAGTACATCAGGCAGTGTGTGATTGGCACAAGCTTGTCCAATGAAATTCACAGCCCAGTGGGGACTAGAAGCTTAGAAGTAGAGTAAGCCAAGTTTCTTGAAAGCTGATGTTAAATATTAAAGACTACTGTCATTGCACGTGCCTCATGATAGCAGCACAAAGGCGGCTAAATAGCCCATTGTTGTTAAGTGGTTTTTGTACCAAGGGAAAGAGCAATGGACAAAGAAAAGAAGAGCTCCCAGCTGATGCAGCTTTCTTCTTTATCATATGCCACACTGTGCCTGCCAGAATTCCCAGTTATGCCCAACTCTCAAATAGGCTGGTTCTACACTGTAGAAATAATGCATTCTGATTCTACTTTAATGCTGTAGAATCGTGAGAGATGTCGTTTAGTGAGACACCAGCACTCACTGTCTTATAAAACAACAACTCCTAGGATTGCATAACATTGAGTCAAGGCAGTTACAAGTTGTCAAACTGCAATAATTCCTCGGTGTAGATTTACCCAAAGAAACAGGTAGCAATGCAGAGCCCTCCCAGGTGTTGAACCTATCTTTCCCTCCAACTCGCCCCCTCCTCTATCCCCACCACTCCCAATGCCTCTCTATATGTGTATGTATCTTCAAGGTGTCTATTGACGTATAATAATAACTTTATTCTTATACCCTGCCACCATCTCCCCAAGGGACTTGGGGCAGCTTACATAGGGGACAAAATGGCCACAAAACACAAATACAAAACAATCAATTAAAAAAAACACAGTTAAAATAAAACATAGCAAAATATAACGATCCAGATACAAGAACCATTAAATAACACATAAACTATAAAACAGCAGCATTGAAACTCAGTCAAAACAAGTGCGACTAGTGGGGACAAGAGATAGGGCCTTCTCAGTGGTGACCCCTCAGCTGTGGAACATCCTCCCTAACGACATCAGAAGGAAAGTAAAATCTTGGCTCTGGGACCAGGCTTTCAAAGACTAGTGTAGTGCAATATAGATTGGATTATATGCAACTGACTATGGAATCGACCTTGGACCACGATTTTTGGATGGTGTGATTTTAATACTGAATGTAATTTTTAAATGTTTAACTTGCATCAATGTTAACTGTTTTTAAGTTTTTAAATACCTGTATATGTTGCAAGGCATTAAATAATTGCCATGTGTAAGCTGCCTTGAGTCCCCTTCGGGGTAGAGAAAGGCGGGACATGAAAAGGGTAAATAAACAGCACGTTTCTGTTTTTATGGTGTTATGCTTTATTGTGATATGCTCTTATGTTGTTTTCTTTTGATTTTATTTTATTGTGTTATGTTTTAATTCTGTGCTCTTTGGGCTTGTCCCCTTTTAAGCTGCCCCGAGTCCCTTTTGGGGAAATGGAGGCAGGGTAAGATTAAGTTATTATATTATTATAAGAGTAAATAATAAACAAATAAAAAAATAAATAACAAAACTCTGCAAAATCAAATGCCAGTAGTACAGTGGGAGTAACCAGGCTATAGAGGGCTGAGCATTTTTTTAAATTTATCTCCAACATTTCTACCCCACCCTTCTCAACCCCCGAGGGGGAACTTAGAGCCGCTTACACTGGCAACAATTCGATCCCACAACGTACAAAACAATTATAACAGATATTATTTATTTATTTATTATTTGCTATATTTATATACCACCCTTCTCAACCCGCAGGCAACTCAGGGCGGTGGTTGTCAATATAAAAACAATTAAAAACAGTAAGTTAAAAACAATTTAAAACATTACCATAACATACACTGTACAATAGGGCCGGTTACTGGATGAAGGACAAAATATTATCAGGCGACCTAGGTACTGGACACTTATAAGGAGGGACTAGGCGTCCCCAAATGCAAGCTGAAAAATCCTGGTTTTCAAATCCCTGTGAAAGGAGGACAATGTGGGAGCTTGCCTAATATCCCTTGAGAGGGACTTCCTAAATCAGGGGCCACCAGCCTTATGGAGCACTCCATGTATTTATAGCAGGCCTGGGCAAACTTGGGCCTTCCAGGTGTTTTGGACTCCAACTTCCACCATTCCTAACAGCCTACCGGCTGTTAGGAATGGTGGGAGTTGGAGTCCAAAGCACCTGGAAGGCCCAAGTTTGCTGGCTGTTAGGAATGGTGGGAGTTGGAGTCCAAAACACCCGGAAGGCCCAAGTTTGCCGGCTGTTAGGAATGGTGGGAGTTGGAGTCCAAAACACCTGGAAGGCCCAAGTTTGCCAGCTGTTAGGAATGGTGGGAGTTGGAGTCCAAAACACCTGGAAGGCCCAAGTTTGCCAGCTGTTAGGAATGGTGGGAGTTGGAGTCCAAAACACCTGGAAGGCCCAAGTTTGCCAGCTGTTAGGAATGGTGGGAGTTGGAGTCCAAAACACCTGGAAGGCCCAAGTTTGCCAGCTGTTAGGAATGGTGGGAGTTGGAGTCCAAAACACCTGGAAGGCCCAAGTTTGCCAGCTGTTAGGAATGGTGGGAGTTGGAGTCCAAAACACCTGGAAGGCCCAAGTTTGCCAGCTGTTAGGAATTGTGGGAGTTGGAGTCCAAAACATCTGGAAGGCCCAAGTTTGCCAGCTGTTAGGAATTGTGGGAGTTGGAGTCCAAAACACCTGGAAGGCCCAAGTTTGCCCATGCCTGATTTATAGGGTTTCCTTAGGCAAGAGACACTCGGACACCACCTCTGAAATACATCCAGCAGCAGAACTTGGTATTTGTGAACAGTCTCCAATCCAAATACTCAACAAAACTGACCCTGGTTATCTCCCAAGTGGTGAGATCTGGAACCACTGGGGATATTTTGGCCCTCTCTCCTCTTCCCCAACTATATTAAATGCTTGGGACCTTCAGTGGTTCTCAACCTGTGGGTTCAACTCCCAGAAACCCTAATAACTAGTAAACTGGCTGGGATTTCTGGGAGTTGTAGGCCAAAACACCTGGAGACCCACAGGTTGAGAGCCACTGACATGAGGGATGGGAAAACTTGGGCCCTCCAGGTGTTTTGGACTACAACTCCCACAATTCTTAGCAACAGCACCTCTCCCCGCTCCGTGGGGCTAGGCCTCCTCCTCCTCCTCCTCCTGGCCCCTCACCGCGTAGGCTGGTGCTGCTAGTCCCCCGGCGCTCCTGGCCGCCTTGGCGGGCCTCCCTTCGTGCCCGTCAGCGGCCTGCCTCTCTCCGGGGCCCGGGCTGGAAGGCGCCTCAGGCTCGCCGCCTCCGCCCTGGCTGCCGCTACTGCTGCTCCCGCTCTCCCCGCTGCTGCTCCCCTCGGCGCCGCTGCTGTTGCTGCCACTGCCGGGGCTCTGGGCCCCCCGATGGGGCTCCTCCATTGAGGAAGGCGGCGGGCAGGAGGAGGAGGAGGAGGCGCCGCCAGCAAAGACCGCTCGGCCGCCGTCGGCGCAGGCGCAGAGTGAGCCGCGCGGAAGGGAGGGGGCGTGGCCTCGGGGAGGAGGAGAAAGAGAGGGAGGAAGGGAAGGGTTAAAGGGAAGGGTTAGGCCAGTGGTTCTCATCCTGTGGGTCCACAGATGGGTTGGCCTTCAACTCCCGCAAATCCTAACAGCTGGTAAACTGGCTGGGAATCCTGGGAGTTGTAGGCGAAAACACCTGGGGACTCACAGGATGAGAACCACTGGAATAAGGGGAAGGATGGGGAGAAAGAAGGCAGGGAAGGGAGGAAAGAGAAAAAGGGAGAATAAAAAGGGAATGAAGAGAAAGGGGAAGGATGGAAGAGGGGAAGGATGGGAGGAAGAGAGAGGGGAAGGAAAGAAAGAAGAGAAAGGGGAAAGAAGAGAAAGAGGAGAAGGAAGGAAGAGAGAAAGGAGAAGGAAGGAAAAGAAAGGGGAAGGAAGAGGAAGAGGGGAAGGAGAGAAAAGAAAGAGGGGAAGAGAGGAAGGAAGAGGAGAAGAAAGGAAGGGAAGGAAGGAAAAGAAAGGGGAAGGATGGAAGAGATGAAGGAAGGAAGGAAGAGAAAGAGGAGAAGGAGAGAATAGAAGGGAAAGAAAAGGGGTATAAGAATGAAATTGGAAATTGGTACAGGCAGCCTTTTGATAGACATCTGATTGTCTTGCTGTTTCTGTCCAGTGCGGCCGCACTTGAAAAATAAAGAGATTTTTGCTTCAAACCTCATGAAGACTGGCTGTCTTTTTAAGATTCACATTTAAACTATTGAAAGAGTTCCCTTAAAGAAGGAAGAGGGGAAGGATGGAAAAGGGGAAGGAAGAGTGGAAGGAAGAGGAGAAGAAAGGAAGAGAAAGAGGGGAAGGAGAGAAGAGAAAGGGGAAAGAAGAGAAAAGGAAGGAAGAGAAAGGGGAAGGATGGAAGAGGGGAGGAAGAGAAAGAGGAGAAAGGGGAGGGAGGGAAGAGAAAGAGGGGAAGGATGGAAGAGGGAAAGGAAGAAGACAAAGGGGAAGATGGGAAGACAAAGGGGAAGGAAGAGAAAGAAGGGAAGGATGGAAGAGAAGGATGGAAGAGAAAGAGAAAGAATGACAAGTCATTTATGACTTATGATTATTCTACAGTGAACCTATCACAGGGTTTTTGTTGGTAGAATTGCTTTGCCTTTGAAGTTCTTTGAGGCTGAGAGAGTATGACTTTTTTAAAAGGTGACTATGGGTTTCCATGTCCAAGCAAGGATTCAAACACTCATCTCCCTGTATCCTAGGGTGCATCTACACTAGAATCGATGTTGATTGACTCTACTTGATGCAACAGAATCCTTACAGTTTTACAAGGTCTTTGGCCTCCTCTGCCAAAGGGTGCTGCTGCCTCCCCAGACTACAACTCCCGGTATTCCATAGCATCCAGCCATGGTGGTTAATGTGGTCTCAAACTGCATTCATTTTATTGTGTAGATACACTCCTAGCCCAACCCTCAAACCACAGACATCACAAGTTTTTCTGGAGTGGACATTAAGACAAGACAAAACCAGGCAACCTGCCCACCCTTGTTCTGTATTATTCAACTCTGAGATTACCAGTTTGGAAAAGAAAAAACTCAACAACATGGGGCTCAACATACTTGCATGTGCCAGTTCAATCCCCCTTTGTACTCCCATAAATAAAGATGGGGATACCAGATTCCCATCTCTTTCACTTGGGACCCAACCATAACAATTAGTGCTTGATGGGGTATATATGATATTCACATCAGCATTTCATGTAAATCGATGCAGATTCAAAAAATGCACATCCTTTAAAATTCACATGTAATTGATGCAAAAGACATATCTTAATGTTCATCTAGCATAAACATCCCAAAGACCACAGTATAATGGGAAGCAGATTTTGGGCGACAGTGTGCAACCATGTATAAAATGGACTTAGGTTAATGAAACAAATCTTAAATCAATCCTACTCTAAGGGCACTTTTGCAGTTCGCATAATCAAAGGGAGATTTTGTGCCAAGAATTGTTCAGTTATAAATGCCTGGGAAACTCTTTTAATTGCAGTGAAAAGGCAAAGGTAACAATAAAATAATCTCGGAAGAAATTTGTACAAACATTGAAGACAACAGAATAGAAACCAGATACACTGAAAGCACTCTATGGGTCTGTAAAATGATCTTGGAGTTTATTTTAACTGGAGTTGTGAAAGGAAGATGGGTTCGAGAGGGCAAATGCATGCAAGCTTAGCTCAGTATGGCTGTTTTGCCTTCTTAAAACTGAGTAAACCAGCTAATTTGGAAAATCATTCAGAGCCAGTGGCTGATGGTAAGGTTTAAAGGGACAATGCAAAGAAACAAAGATGTAAGGTAAGAGTTTGGTCCTTCATATTTGCAGCATGAACAAAATAAAGTTTCCAAGAGAAACAAAATGAAAGCACGATAACACTAACTCATCAACATGCACTTCAATGCAAGACTGATGAATGTAAAATTACTAGATGAAACAAAAACAGGGCTCCTGTCACTTTAACTGTTGAGTAGAATGCTTTCATGAACTGCTGATTTTTTCTCTTCTATATAATGATAAAAGATACATAACTCTTATTATTTCACTTGGCAACCCAATGTGACTTTTAAGCAGTGGTAAATAAGGCTATACCTTCTGAAGATGGAACATAGCTTCATGTAACTGAACTCATTTCTTTTGATACATTGACATTGTAATGGAGTACTTTGACTGATTTCTGACTTAGAACAATGCTAAAGTGGGTCGACTGAGACTGATGTGAATATGTTCCTTTGGGATGACATTCATATTTCAAATGGTGCCTGCCGTAACTCTGTGTCTGTCTCCCTTTTTTATGCGCACCTCCAATCCCTTCACAATGCATTTCAGAGGGAACCATGCCTGTCCTGATCTTCTCTTTTGAATTTCTCTTTGCTTGTAGAACACAGTGGCAAAATGCTTGCCTTGTGAAAATCAAAGCAAACAAACCAATCCCACATGAAAAGGTCAGTTCAAAGTATATGTATTAGCATATAATGTCTGACATTCATTGTAACCTTGTTGGTATACTTCATTCAGTAGGGCAAACCTAGAATTCACTACACAACTTGTTATCAACTAAACTGAAAGCAATTATCAAAGGTGGCCTGCCCAGCATTCATGTTTTTTCAATCATACTGAAGCTACAAAATTGTCAGAGATTGAGAGCACACAACTAGCTGCACTACAAGCAGCTTCATAGGTTGTGCTCATATCAGTGAGTCACAAGTTTTCACCATCACTGCATTTCTAGAAATAGCAAGTTTTAAAATGAAGCAACAAAATGTAAAGAAGAATAGGTATTTGCAAAAAGGCCAAAGATGAGCACTGCCATATTTTTAAAAAGAATCTAACTTTTTTTCTAACTGTGTTAGAAAAGGGAACATACTGAGACATTCATGGCATTTGTTAAGTTCATAAGCTCTTGTTTAAAAAGTCCTTTCTAAAACTCTGGCTGTTGGACACAGCTTGAGAAAAGAGCATCCAGAGTGAAGAAAATACATTGTTGTTACTGATAAATAAAATATTAACTGCTTTTAAAGGCTAATGTATGAAATTGAAATGACTACTTAAGTTGTGTTGCAGATAGATGGTGGATGGATGGATGGATAGATGGATATCTTTAAAAGAGCAGATGTGGAGATGTTGGGCTCTGCACATCTACTCAGAAGTAAGCTCTACTGAGTGTGGAACTTACTCTTCAGTATAGGACTATACCCTAAATAACTTTTTTACAGTTTTCGTCAAGTTGAAACCATCTCATTTCCTTACATTGCAGCCATCATTTGAGAACAGCTTCCAATTAGTTACTGAATTATTGTATTGCTCTGATACAGCTGCATTGCACATACATGGAAGGTGGAGTGTTACTTTAAGCGATCCCTTGTTGTCCGAGTACGATGGCCTTACAAGTGTAGGGTCTTGGCAGTGGATTCATAGGTGACTGTAGAGCCCTATTCTTGACCCACACGTTCTTCCACAGTGAGGACATCAGTTTCCAGGTAGAAGGCAGTTCCGGTAAGGGTTGGCTTGGCATGCCTTCCTCTTGGCATGCTTCTCCCTTTCGTCCTCCATTTGTACCTCTTCAAATTCCACAGCACTGCTGGTCACAGCTGACCTCCAGCTAGCACTCAAGGGCCAGGATTTCCCAGTTCTCAGTGTCTATGCCACAGTTTTAACGGTTAGCTTTAAGCCCATCTTTAAATCTCTTCCTGTCCACCAACATTACGTTTCCCATTCTTGAGTTGGGTGTATAGTAACTGCTTTGGGAGATGGTGATCTGCCATTTGGACAACATGGCCAGTCCAGAAGAGTTGATGGCAGAGGAGCATCGCTTCAGTGATAATGGTCTTTGATGCAGCTGCATTGCACATACATGAAAGATGGAGTGTTACAGCATTACTGTAAGAACTGCTGAATTTCACACACATCACTGAGGGCCCTTCTGCACAGACATATAACCCAGAATATCTGCTTTGAACTTGGTTTTTTCTCAGTCCACCCTGCCATATATCGCAGTTCAAAGCCAATGATATGGGATTTTATTCGTGTGGAAGGGGCCTGAGTCTGAAGGATGTTGAGGATGTAGCTTCCTGAACTTAATTTTTTATCTTACAGACTTTTCCTTCAGACTGTCTGAAACCAATATGCAAATCAACCTGACCATAACATGGTCATTTTGCCTGCCTTTCCTTCAAACTGTTTTTGCTATCTTTCTCTGATGAAGAAAGGTGACATTTCAAAAGGCGAAACAGCAAATTTTGCCTTTATGTCAAGAGATAATGCCACTGAGCCCTGTGAGTCATGACATAATATATTCCCTTTCCTTCACTATATTAAGTATAATTTATCAAGACTGATTGTTTTTATTGTTTTGCTCTCTTCAGTCTGTTATATTGTATGGTTTTTGTTCAGCCCTTCATTGCTTTCTATGTACAGTAGCAAATCTTGTCTCCCTCTACTGGCTTGTCTTCTCACTGTTGTGTGACTGTTGTGTGACTCAATGAAGAGTCCGTCACATATGTGTTCAGCCTTCCACTTTTGCAAGTTTCACACTCATTGTTTTGATTATACCTGCTGTCTCTCAAAGTTGGGACTAGCATGTCAACATCCCACATGGCAGCCCCATTCTCAGGAGGCGAGTGAGAGGTGTGTGCCCCAAAACCCCTGTGAAAGTAGAAGAATAGCACTCATTTACCAGAATACTTCAAAAAACTATCTTATACTGAGTCAAATCATGATCTATCTAGCATAATACTGTCTTTGCTGGCTGCCAGAGGTATTTGCTACAAGAACTGTCTAGCCATTGATGAATCTAGAGTAGGCCTTAAATTACAGCCTTTCTATGGAAATTTTGTGCTTAGCCATTAACCTGCAGCGTTTCCCCAAGTACCTTCACTATGGAAAACCACTCAATGCATTTTGACCATTCAGTCTTTCATTTTGATCATTTGTGTGTTTAAATTTTGTGAGTTTTATTATTCACAGAATCCTATGGTCCTCCAGTGCAACTTTTGTGAGATATATATTTGCCCTTTTCTATCAGAGACGGGGCCCTTGTGGCACAGCAGGTTAAACTGCTGAGCTGCTGAACTTGCTGACCGAAAGGTTGGTGGTTTGAATCCAGGAAGCAGTATGACCTCCCACTGTTAGATCCAGCTTCTGCCAACCTAGCAGTTTGAAAACATGCAAATGTGCGTAGATCAATAGGTATCACTTCTGTGGAAAAGTAACGGCACTCCATGCAGTCATGCTGGCCACATGACCTTTAAGGTGTCTACGGACAAAGCCGGCTCTTCAGCTTAGAAATGGAGATGAGCACCACCTCCCAGAGTTGGACATGATAAGTTTGGGAGTCAAGGGGAAATATAAATAAACATTATCATTGTATCATGGAATCAAAAGTATTTGAAATTATTCATACTTAACAGAGAACTGAAGCTGAACGACACCAACAATGAATCCTCTCCAAGTTTCCCGCATGCCTCGTCTAGTCATTTTGGACCACCAGTCCTATGTTCTCTTACCAGTCCATTGAATTGACTGAGGAAGGCTTCAGCCCTTGAAGTACAATGTTTTGGATTCAGCTCCCAATTCCATGCTGTTTCCAGTGTCTCCTGTGATGTCCTTTGGCATTGTAAAAATGCCAGTTGTATCATGTTAATAAAATATTGAGTCTTTTTGTGTTCTTTTTTTCAACCTTTTTTTCCCAACCTAAATAAGCTGATGGCCGTTCATTTCGAGCAGTGTTTTTCAACCTGGGGGTCGGGCCCCTGGGGGGTTGTGAGGGGACGTCAAAGGGTTGCCAAAGACCATCAGAAAACACAGTATTTTCTGTTGGTCATGGAGGTTCTGTGTGGGAAGTTTGGCCCAATTCAGTCATTGGTGGGGTTCAGAATACTCTTTGATTGTAGATGAACTATCAATCCCAGCAGCAACAACTCCCAAATGTCAAGGTCTATTTCCCCAAAACTCTACCAGTGTTCACATGTGGGCATAATGACTATTCATGCCAAGTTTGGTCCAGATCTATAATTGTTTGAGTCCACAGTGCTCTCTGGATGTAGGTTAACTACAATTCCAGATCTCAAAGTCAATGCTCACCAAACCCTTCTAGTATTTTCTGTTGGTCATGGGAGTTCTGTGTGCTAAGTTTGGTTCAATTCCATCATTGGTGAAGTTCAGAATGTTCTTTGACTGTAGGTGAACAATAAATCCCAACAACTACAACACCCAAACGACAAAATCAATCCCCACGCAACTCCACCAATATTCAAATTTGTACCAAATTTCATCCAGTGAATGAAATATATCCTGCATATCAGATATTTACATTATGATTCATGACAGTAGCAAAATTATAGATGTGAAGTAGCAGCAAAAAGAATTCTATGGTTGGGGGTCACCACCACATGAGGAACTGTATTAAGGGGTTATGGCATTAGAAAGGTTAAGAACCCCTGTTTTAGAGCAATTAACACACCATTGCTTTCCTGAATTTAGTGTACTGCTATTTTTTAAAAAGTCAAAGTCTTTTTACTTTCTACACAAAAGTGATAAGATGGAGGAATACTTGATATAGTGCTACTGGACTCCTTCACCCAGTGTTTTGTTCCTCTCTTCCCAAGAAAATAATCCACATATCTAATCTCACGGCTCCCTTAAAATCAGAGTCTGAAATTAGGTGTTTTTCAAAGAGCTTTGGGCAGTGCGTATGAGTATGGAGGAGGAGTTGGAGCAGCTTAGCATTGTCATCATGATATCAAGTCTTGCTCCAATGCCAACATTTCCTTCCCCCTCCTTCCCCCCACCCATATTTGTGTGTGTTCAGAAAGTCAAGCTGAGCCTGCTCATAAACTTCAGTTCCTGGGCGGACCCCACACACATACAGCTGGATTTGAAACAGCTGGATCTGCCTCCCCTTCAGTTTTAGCCCGGAGCCCCTCAAGCCCTGGGCTGCCTGGCAGAAGATGAACCCACTTACCCTGTGAAGGTGGGATCCAGTCGCTTGAGAAAATCCTGAAAATGGGTTATTGGAGGAGCCTTCCTCTTCTGCTGCTGCTACTGATGCGGTTGCTCTGTGAGTACAGAAAAGGCTGAACAGCTGGGGGAAGCAAGGGGCTATTTATTTTCCTTCTTCCAGCTCAGTTCTCTTCTGCCGGGAACAGATGGAGAGGGAATGCTGGAAAATTGGGTTCCCTTGCAAATGCTTGCTTTAAAATCTTCTCTGGCTTCTTCCTATGAGAGGGAAAAGTATTTAGCATCTGTAACCAGCTGCTCTGATAGGCATTGTTATGGTATTGTGTGTGCGTGCCTTTAAGTTCCCTATCAACTTATGGCAACCCCATGAATTTTGTAGAGTTTCTTTAAGCAAGGGAGTGTCGAAGGTGCCAGTTCCTTCCTCTTAAAGAGAGCCAGCAGCACCTGATATTTGTTGTCAGTCTCACATCCAAAGTCTAACCTGGGCTGGCCCTGCTTAGCTTTCCAGATCAGATTATCTTTGGTGCCTTTATGTTATTTGGGTCTTAAATGTGCACAGAAATCTGTTTTAGAAAAGAAACCTTTGGAAGTTTTCATTTTAGCCACATTAAAATGAGTTGAAATGTACACATGGTATACATTGGGTAGTTTGGATGCAGTATAATTCCTGTCATTATCTTTTGCACAAATCCACGCCTGCACACAGACTCCACTCAAGAACAAATTATCTTTATGGTCATGAAGAATGATAAAGAAAAAAATATTGTGTCCCGTCCTCCCTGTTTTGCAACAGCATCTTACTATTTAGCAAGGCAGCCCAGCTTGCGTGCAAGAGAAGCATTCTTTGTTACACACCCTCTCTTTATATTTCTATAATGATCTGTTATTACTGAAGATACAGCTTCCTTGCCAGAGCTTGGGAAGTATGTCTCGCTGTACTATAAATGCCCTTAACTTCATTTTTTCTCTTGCTTCATATGAGTAAAAGGAATCAAGCAAAACAAAGCAAATACACATGTAATAACCTCCATGAATATGACTTTTTATGGAATTTATTTACAGTATTTTACTGATGCATATAATTTCTGGTAAAATTGGATGCTATAGAGCTCTTTAAATAATATGGGCACTCCTAGATTGAAAATTTTTGTGTTTTTTTCCGTAACATATAAACCACTTGGGTTTAGGTCTGCCAGCCCATGTACTAATGATTACTACTAGTTTTTACACTAGACCAAGGATCAATTTGAGTGGCAATGTTCAAACAGCATACTGGTAATTAGAAGGATGAAAGCCAGTCTCTCCCTGAGCGCTACACTTAGGCAGAAAAAAATGAAACAAAATGATATAGAATGGGTGATGCCTGGCTCGACAACAGTCCATGTGAAAAAGGTCTTGGTGTCTTCATGGACAACAAGTTGAACATGAGCCAACACTGTGATGCGGCAGCTAAAAAAGCCAATGGGATTTTGGGCTGCATCTAAAGGAGTATAGTGTTTAGATTGAGGGAAGTCATGGTGCCTCTCTAGACCTCACCTGGAATACTGTGTCCAATTCTGGGTACCAGAGTTCGAAAGAGACATTGACAAGCTGGAAGGTGTCCAGAGGAAGGTGAAAGGGTGTCATAAGAAAGAGGGAGCAGGCTTGTTTTCTGCTGGCCTGGAAACTAGGGCCATATAAAATCCACATTGCACTGAATTATCTGGCAGTGTGGACTCAGATAATCCAGTTCAAAGCAGATGTTGTGGATTATCTGCCTTTATATCTGGGTTGTATGGCTGCGTAGAAGGGCCCTAGGACTTTGAATAATGGGTTGAAATTACAGGAAAGGAGATTGTACAACAAATAAATAAATAAATAAATAAATAAAACCATTAGCGTAATAATGGGTTTATTTATTTATTTATTTATTTATTTATTTATTTATTGTATCAGTAGTGAACTGCGGGTACAGTTGTAATGTATTTAAAATGCACAAAGTTTAAAAACTTGCCATTATACTAAATGTCTTTTGACCAGTAGCCGGCAACCTGGAGAACCTCTGGTGTTGCTTTAAGAAGGTTCTCCATTGTGTATGTGGCAGGGCTCAGGCTGCATTGTAATAGATGGTCTGTAGTTTGCTCTTCTCCACACTTGCCTGCTGTGGACTCCACTTTGTGGCCCCATTTCTTAAGGCTGGCTCTGCATTTCAGAGTCAGTTTAGCGTTTTCCAAGTTACCCGTATTCTGTGTGCCCAGGAGGGAGTCCCTCATTCGGTATCAACCATGGATCGAGGTTCCGGGTTTTAGCCTGCCACTTGTGGACTCTTGCTTGCTGAGGTGTTCCTGCAAGTACCTCTGTAGATCTTAGAAAACTATTTCTTGATTTAAGGCATTGGCATGTTGGCTAATATCCTAACAGGGGATGGGCTGGAGATGTCACTGCTTTGATTCTTTCATTATTGGATGCTACTTCTCAGTCAATGTCAGGTGGTACAATATCGGCTAAACAGTGTAATTTATCCCATGGTGCAGGGCGTAGACATCCTGTGCTGCATGTCTCATTAAGAGCCACATCCACTGTCTTAGTGTGGTGAGATGTGTTCCACACTGGGCATGCGTACTCAGCAGCAGAGTAGCAAAGCACAAGGGCAGATGTCTTCACTGTATCTGGTTGTGATCCCCAGGTTATGTCAGTCAGCTTTCTGTGTTATTCTGTTGTAGTGCAAAAAATGAAATTTTCCAAGTTTTGTTCATACATGTACTCACACGTTGTATTGGGACGGGAGAGCTGTCCAAATTCAGTCACACCCACATGTAACCCTTCCATGCTTTCTTCCTCATGCTTCTCATTGAGGCCTCCTCCCAATCTGTGAGCTATAAACTCAAAATACAATCACACATCACACAACAATACAAAGTACCAAACAAACAATGCTTTCCCCATGCCTGAATTTCAGATGTTTTTAATTTAGGTAATCTTTTTCATGGTAGGAGGTAAAGAGATAGACCCTGCCGATGGCTAATCAATGGGCACAAGGGACAAGCAGACACACAAGCTAGAACAGTGACGCCTTCAAACCCTTAATTCCTCTCTTTAATTTGAAAATGGGCATCTTTCCAGTGTCACTGGAAAATACCAAAAGATATTCTCACCAGATGTTTAAAATGATAGTTTTAGGTTGTTTTCAGTCCAGCACATATTCTTCTCTTCCTCCTATTATTACTAATTCTATTACTGCAGCTACAGTCATAATTGCCTCCTCTTTTCCAGGATATGGTTCTCCAAGCAAGTGAACTAATATTTTTTTTATAAACACATGGAATACTTAGGGTAAGATTGAGTCTTCTGACAAGTCCCAGAAAAAAGGGGACAAAAGTAAGACCATGTGCAGCCTTCATGGGGTGTGACATATTCAACAGCGGGAAGGGGCCAAACTGGTCCCTGTAGAGAGCATTACTAGTGTAAATTGACTTCTAGTTTCAGGGCAGATGTCTCCACTATTCTGGAGCAGAGAGTCCTACGTTACTGTCGGTTCATCAAGTCCTCCTCTGGATGTTAGTTGAAGCACATCTGGCATGAGCTATTTTTCCCTCTCTTCTCCTGTCTGTCCCTAAGGGAAATAGTCCTCAGGAAGAACCTGGTGATTTCCCTCTTAACAAATAAACAATATGAGTTTACTTTCTGTATGGAAGCCATCATTAGCCCTAGTTCAAGCAATGATGATTGCTATACCCCATTGTTGTGTATGGCCAAGTCCTTTCTGATTTGTGGCCACTGTAAAGCAAACTGATGGTGGGGCTTTCTTGGCTTTTTGACTTCCTCTGAGACTGAGAAAGTTTCCCAATGTCACCCAATGAGTTGAACCCTGGTATGTAGAGCCATTGTCCAATACTCAAACTACTACATCACTCTGGCTCTCTATACTTCATTGAAAGTTTGTTATTCTGCTTTCCTTGATGGTGAACCTATGTAGCTCCATAGCCTTGACATGGTATTCTTCCACTTGAGTTCTGATTTCCTCCTTTTTCCCCCTCACCTACCATCATGTACTTCAGTCTCTGTAAATTGTTGCTCTTCTCCATTCCCATTCTTAAAAGAGGGAACCATTGGTGTTCTTTTTTAAAAACTTAGCAACAGCTACTTCTATTTTTGCTGCCAGCATTGAAGAGTCGCTTTGAAGGATCGAAAGAGCCCCCACTGGTGCAATGGGTTAAACCCTTGTGCCAGCAGGACTGCTGACCAAAAGTTTGCCAGCTTGAATCTGGGGAGCGGGGTGAGCTCCCATCTGTCAGCTCCAGCTTCTCATGCAGGGTCATGAGAGAAGCCTTCCACAGGATGGTAAAACATCTGGGTTGTCCCCTGGGCAATGTCCTTGCAGACAGCCAATTCTCTCACACCAGAAACGACTTGCAGTTTCTCAAGTCACTCATGACGGGAGGATAGGAAAGATAAATAATCTTTAATTCATAGTTCCTGGGATGGGGAAAAGGCAATATTTTCTTTAAAATATGTAAGAAAAACAACAACACAAGCATATATATGCTGTAGTTATAGCTACTTTCAAATCGCTCAGTTGCATGTTACTGTTTTTTACATACATTTTGCTTCCATTGGCTAGGTATGTGTGTCTGAGTGTGTGTATGAACTAAACATTTCAAAACACTCCATAATGTAAAATGTGTGCTTAATATAATTTCATTTTAATGCCACATATCAAACTTATATAGAGTTTTAAAAAGTAATACTATACACCTCTCTCAAGGGCCTTGCAATGTGAGACTCAAGATATATCAGATGTACAAATAAACTTGGAGACTTTCACATCTGCAAGTACTGTTTCCTGTTTTGCTGATGCCCAACTGAATGAGTCAAATACACATTTTCCTTTTAATAGTTAGAGACTTTACTGCTTATTAAATTCTTATACTCAAGATTAACTTCTCCTGACTCCCTCATGCAAAAAAACAGTAATCTGAGGTTTTATAATATGCAAATGATATAGAATATAATTTGATCATTTGAAAGTCAAATGGGTTGAGTTAAACTGTGAACTACTGCCAGCTCTAATCTTTGCTGAACTGGAAAATCAAATGAAACCTGCTTAACACATGGACAAAA